AGCTCCAGGAGTGGCGTCGCATGCAGACCCTCCCCTGCCTTGGAGACGGGAGATTAGCTCCGGATGGAGGCCACTCTGGGATCTCTGATTGTACTCCAGGAAGGGACGTGTATGTAGTTGGTGTGTGCGCCCACGTGCTCAGGGCATCCTTGGGGCTACTAGATAACTGGGAGTTGGGGATAGGAAGAGCCAGGTACAGCCACTCTGGGTACTTCCTGACTTGGGGAGACGTACAAGCCCCTTTCTCAGGAACTCATGTGGATCCCAGGCAGCTACAACCCAGCCCTGTGGGTTCGCTCATCACCCCACCCTTCCTCAGTGAGTGAGACCACTGTTGCCACCCCTCACGCACCCCCACCCCCACCCTCCCGGACATCCTCTTGGGTTGGGGTGCTGCCCCCACCCCTCAAGTTAGAAACCCAAGTCCCTTCCCGTGCCAGGTCCCAATGCATTTGCCCCTGCTGGGGTCTGCCCACCCCGCCCACCCCTCTCCCCGAGCAGCCAAGTCCCTGGGGCATATCTGGGTCAGAAATCCCGTACATGATACTAGGCTGCTGACGCCCAAGACCCTGACCCTGTGGATACCCGGAAAGCCCCATATGGCCTCTCAGACTAGACCACCTCCCAGGGCCACAGGAGGCCCTAGCGGAGCCATGAGTAAGTTCTAAGGCAGTGGTTCTCAAGCTGTGGGTCTTGACCCCTTTGGGAGTCGAACGACCCTTTCAAAGGGGTTGCCCAATGCATAACCGTAACAAAATTACAGTAAGGAACTAGCAACGAAAATAATTTTATGGCTGTGGGGGCTCACCACCACATGAGGAACTGTATTAAATGGTCACGGCATCAGGAAGGTTGAGAACCACTGTGCTAAGGGAATCTGTCCATCCCCTGTCTGCGTCACAGAGCTCCCAAACCGTACAGGTGGGGGCATTAGGGAAGACAAGGGTTCTCTGGGCAGAGCCAGGCTTGCTCCACCCATGACCGTGGGGACCTTTCCAGAGAGCAAGAGACAGCAGCTTTCCCTGTCTCCGTCTCCCTCTCACCCCGAGTTTCTCTGCCTCCCTCCCCTCCCCTAGTTCCCCACCTCCCTGACTGCCTCCATGCCCAGGGCCGCTGCCACAACACAGACAGGCGAGTTCGGTCCTGCTGCATCTCCCCTCACATGCCCCCTGGCTCCTGCCACCTCAGCGCTGGAGGGCTGGGCACCATGCGTGTGGCTGCTTTAGCTGAAGCCTGACGGCTGGTTTCTGCAGATGCCACCGGGCACCAGAACTGGGTACAGACAGTGGTGCTGGGGGCCCCTTGCCGCCCCCCTGCCATCTCTGAGTCCCCACATCAGGAGGCCCAGGAGCTGGGGGTTAGCTAAGTGTTACCCAGCAGGGGACAGAGTCGGAGCAGAAAGGGCTAGGTCGGGCTTGCAGCTGATGGAGACTCAGTCCTGTCTCAGGCCCAGGAGCCCTGGGGGGCACTTTGGGTTGGGCACAGGGCTGCTAGCCTGGAGGTGGGCGGTCTAAGCCCTCCAGCTTCTCCTTGGGAAAGAGTCGAGGGTCTGTCCCTGGGAAGATTTTGCTCCAGAAACCCCGCAAGAGAATCCACCTCATCGTGGTTCTCAGGTGCAGGTGGCGATGAGGGACCCTCCGAGGGCCAGCTGGGTACAAAGCTGCTCCCACGTGTGATGCCAGCTCCATGCTCTGACACATGAGCGCGTGCACACACACACACCACACACATGCTCAGAGGTAACACACGTGAGTGCCCCCATCACATGTGCACAAACCGTACCACAGAAACGCACATGGATTCAGCCCTCATGCTGCCTGATGGTTAATACCTGCCCTGAGCAGGGGGGGGGGGGCGTTCACCTAGGTGGCTCCTGGCCTTTCACACACTGTAGGCCCAGTTGGCAGGCAGGTGAATCCCTGTAGGCAGGCTGGTGTCCCTTAGGCAGCCATGCTGGGTAGGACAGCTGCCAGGGTCCAGCTGTGCCGGGCACGTGCGTGAGCCCCCACAGGCACCCAGCGTCCTCGCTGTCCTGCGCGTGCAGCGAGAGCCAGCAGCAGGCTCCTCCATCTCGGGGCCGCGCCCTCACACTAGCTCGAGTTCAAATGTGCCCGGAAGTGATGCCCTGCCCAGCAGCTGCCAGAGCGCCAGTTCCCGTACGGCCACACGTGGGGGCACTCCCGTCGGCCCTGCCCTCCCGAGCACGCTCTTGGGCACACGGCCCTCCCGTGCGCCAGGTCTGCTGAACTTGTTCAGACGTGGCTCAGTGGAGGTGAAGGTTCCCGGGAGGGCCTGGGAGGGCAGGTTTGGCCTGGAGACCACTACGAGATGACAGGTCTCTCCCCCTGCTTCCTGCTCCACCCTGCCAGGGCAGGTGCAGGCCGCGCTGCACCCCGGCCAAGTCCAGTGGGCAGAAAAAAGGATGCCTGAGCACTGACGGGCAGAATCCGGTCTCCGAGTCTCAAGTGTTCTCCCCTCCGAGCCCGACGTTCGTCTGAAGGCTGCTCGGGGTCACCCGCGCCCAGAAGGCCCAGTTCCTTGCTCCCAGCTTCATCTGACATCACAGTCCAGGGCCCCTCGCCGAGGCTTTCCCAGCCTTGCCCACTGCTTGCTGCCACCCGCTGCCAAACAGTGCCCGCTCCCGGGCCACCTTTCCGACTGCCGCCATGCCTGAGCCCGCTGTGGTTGTGGCTTTCCAGCCCAGGAGGAGCCACACGGTCCGTGGATCACCAGGTCTTTCTTCCTGGCCTGTCTCAGCCTGGAAGCATCCCCGCAACCGCTGCATCCTCAGCTCTGATGTCCTCCTCCAGGGACCCCTCCCTCCGAAGCAGGCAGGCAGACGATGCGCTGCTTCAGCACTCTACGGGACAGCGCTCTGGGAGCCACGGGGCCTGCGCAGCTGACCCTCAGCAACTGACCACCAGGCTTTTCTCCTAGTCTGTCTTCGTCTGGAGCGCCACGGAAGCCTGCCCACCGGGGGTGACCCTGCAGGAATGTGGAGCACTGGAGGCATGGCTTCCGGCGTCAGAGCCACACGTAGGCCACCACAGTATGACAGAGAAAGTGGTGGCTCTGTGGCTCTCACAGCGGTGTCTTCATTGGCCCCTGGATCTCCCAGAGTGTCCTGCGGCCCCACTCTCCCTGCAAGCCAGGCTGCACCTCCCAGGCATAACACCGCACACAGGGTCATGGGGGGAGGAGGGGTATGTGAGGAGGGGGAGGTGAGGGGGAAAACTATAGTGTTAACAGCCTCCAGGGTCTCCAAGGGCACAGGCTGGGGGCCAAGGGTAAGGAGACCAGACGTCCCGATTTTGAACAATTTGTTCCGCGTCCCGCAGCGTTTTTAAAAAGTCCCGATTTTATCAAAGAATGCACGACAAGCTAGGGTATCTGGTTTTCGGCTGCCATGTGGCTATCTTGCCAGGATATGAGTTTTATCAATGGTGTCCCGCTTTTGTCCCGCTTTACCAATGTTAACATCTGGTCACCTTAGCCCAGGGGCAGTATCCACGTGGGTGGGAGTGAGTTCGGCGGCGGGCCCCAGAGTCGTCTAGTGGAGAGGGCTGAATCCCCAGAGGGAGGGTGTCCGGCCCTGGTGTCCACTTGGAAAGGCTCAGGCTCCCTGCGAGGGTCTGTGCTAAAGGTGGACATGGGCTTCTCGGAAGAGACGAGGCCGGGGTTTTGGACTGGGCACCCACAGGGGACCACGAGAGAACACAAAAGACAGAGTGCTAGGTGAAAACCCCGGAGGACCCCCCTTCTAGAACAGGCTGGCTTTACCCAGCCTGCCTCCAAGCACCCCTGGGACTCATCCACCCCTGTGGTCACCCTAAGAGCACCTCTCGGATGCCCCCTCTTATGAGGTGCTTCCCAGGCCAGTCTGGTTCCTCTGCCCCGTGGTGTGTGGCTCTGGCAGCCACATTCCCTCAGGCGCCATCCTGGCCTGAGGGTGACCCGGTGTCCCCTGCCGCCCTTACCCTGGGGGGCACCACTGAGGCCCAGGTGCGTCAGGTTGGCTGCCAGATTGCCGGTGCTGCTGGAACTGCTCAGGGCGGGGAAGGGGGGCTCCTCGGGGTCCAGTGGCGTGGGCAGCGGCGAGGGGAAGTGGATGTTGGTCAGGTCGGGCAGCGAGCCCCCCGTGTTGTGGGTGGCAGGGATCAGGGTGGTGGTGGCTCCCTGGTCGGTGGACGGGAAGATGCTGGAGGCGAAGGCAGAGAGGCAGTGAGTGCTGGGGGGTGGGGGTGGGGGGGGTAGAGGCGCAGTCTCTCCTTCAGGAGCGGCAGAGGCAGGAGGCCCCTGGAACAGGGGCTCAGAAAAGCCTCAGGCAAGTCTGATCCTGAGAGGGGGGCAGGGCAGGCATCTTCCCCTGGGGTGGGGTGTACTGGGGCCCAAGGTGGGGGCTGCTCTACTGGGTGGTCGAGGGAGGGGTTCTCTGGGTGGTCGCCAGCAGCTTGGAGCGCCTTCTGCAGAGCCTTGCAGCCATGCACCTGGGCAGAAAGTTCTAGGTCTCCCAGCAGCCCCAGGGGGTGTGGATGCTGTGGACTTACTTGATTCCAGGAACCTCGCAGGACTTGGGCCTAGACCCCGTCTGAAAGAGAAGACAGGACAGGCTGAGAGGGACGGGGCGGGGGACGACACGGCACACAGCCTCCTCACACACACCGTGCTCGCTCCCAGCATGGCCACTGTCCACCACAGGGAGGGGGTGCGCCACCCAGCTCCTCAGATGCCAGGGTCCCGCAGATGGAGAACGCGGGCCCCCATCCACTGCCCCTCTGCCTGTCTGCTTGGCATTCACAGGAACTCTGGAGGGCTCTGCATAGGCTGGGTGAGGGGTCGTGCCAAGTCCACAAAGGAAACAGCCCAGAGCCCACTGAGCCGTGATGGTTCAGAGGGGGCTGCCTGCGCCCAAAGGACCCCTGGGTCATGCCAACAGTTAAACATGCCACTGTTAGCCGAACAGGAACCTTGGGGGTATAGGGGTTATGTCTGGGGCTGCTGGCCTCGAGGTCAGCCGTTTGAAACCACCAGGTGCTCCAAGGGGGAAAGAGGAGGCTGGCCACTCCTGTAGTCACACACACGCGCAGAGACCCACGGGACGGGTGAGCCTGCTTGCCCTATCGGCCCCGCGAGTCAGAAATGACTTCATGGCGGGGAAAGACCGAAGGCCTGCTGCCATCTGCTTCTGTGAGGCCCGGCCCCGGACGCTTCCGGAGCAGCTCCACTCTGCGTGCGTGCAGTCACAACGAAGCCCGGCCTCACAGCCCGGCACGGCATCCTGCCGAGTGCGGCTCCCACCTGGGACCCCCACCTCTCCCCGGCACTCCGGGCGCTGCCCCTCAACGGCCAGTCCCATGACTAGCTTGGCTGGGCACGGGGCACAGGCACATGCAGCAGTAAGTGCCACCGGCCTCTGGAGACAACAGTAGGCTGCCCCTTGGGGTCTAGGAGCCCCCTCCCCATCCGTAGTTCTGGACTCCCAACAGGAGGTACAACGATGTCCTCTAATACACATTCCAGTGAGTTTCTGGTGGCCCTGTGGGGTCACCTTGGGCTGCCCCTCTGTCCACTGGGGGCGTGAATGGTTTCAGGATGGTGGAAGGGCCCCGGGCTGGTAGGTGGGGCCTGGAGAGGACTGAAGGGGCAGGGAGGCTTCGCAGAGCCCGAGGGGAGCTGCAGGTGTCCCAGGCCAGCTAAAGGCAGGAGGGCTATGTGGGGGTGGGAGCAGAGAGCAGGCCCAGACCGGACTTGTGTTCAGGGACAAAGGACAGAATCCTCTTCCGGCTGAGACATGACAGGACAGAGTCCCACCTGCTCCTGAGGCCCCAGCGGTGCCCCACATCCTGCCCGCCCCACCCCCACCTGCCCCCCTGGGCCCCGGGCAGACACTACTGGCTGGCATGTTCTTTAGGGATTATCTGAGAAAAAGGGGACCTACTGCTGGGGGTGCTAGGCCTGCCCACCTACCTGCCAACACCCTGTTGGGAGGGGGGCCTCACCCAACCACTCCAATTGGGGAGCCTGTGGGGTGGCGTGAGACCAGGGGCCCAGCGCTGTACAGGACGCCGCAGGGCGAGTCTCTGCTTGGCTGGGGCCTCCTAATGCCCAAAGTCAACACTCGCTTCATTAGGAGATTGCCACAAAACCCCCTCACAACGGGCATCTCAGAGGAATCCCACAAATGCTCCGGAGATGGCGGTGGATTGCTGAACAGATTAAAAGCTCCAGCCCGGGCCCGCCCTGCGCACAGCGCATCAGACTGGGTTCACTTAAGATGGAGACGCGCCGTTTATGGGGTGGCTGGAGCTGTACTGCCAGGCTGGGCTGCCTTTCCCAGTCCAGCGTCTTGGGGGGAGGGGGGGCGATGGTGAATGGCCTCAAGGCTGGAGGCCTGAGCCCACAGAGGCCCCGGGCCTCTTGCCCGCCAATCAGCCGTTGAAGACCTTGTGGGGGACGGTCAATGTGGACACACGTAGGGTCACTGAGTCAAGGTCAGCTCGATGGCAACCGCTCCCCACCAGCCCTGGCTGCTTCCTGACGCTCAGTCATGTCTCTGCGTCACTGATCAAACGCCAAAGCTTGCAGAAGCAGATTGCCAGGCCTGCCTGTGGAGGCGCCTCTGGATAGACTTGAACTGCCAACCTTTGGGTGAGAAGCTGAGGGCACCACTGTGCACCACCCGGGCCGGCCGCCGACAGGCCTGCAGTGCATGTGAAGTGCAGGTGCGGTCAGAGGCTGCGTGGGCGCCCCATGAAGTGACCACTGACGTTAAGCGTGCTGTAGCAACATGAGGGGAAGACCGCGGGCGGTCCCCGGGCTCTCAGAACGACAGTGTCTGGGCTCTTCAACCAGCAGGCTTCTAAAGGAGGACTCAGCAGAGTCCACATGGGAAGAAGCACACCAGCATGTGTGATCCAAGGACTGTAAATAATAAATTCTAAACCCGAAGGAGGGAACGGTGTTGGAGCTTAAATTCTGAACCCATGGTCTGCAGAAGGCTGTGGATGGCAGGGAAAGCCCACACTCCTTCCCAGCCTCTCAGGGGACGAAGCCTCTGGGCCGTGAATGTCTTCTGACTGCAGACCCGCCATGGGAAAGGCCCCGTTACCAGACAGGGCACCTGTAGGGCAGATGGCCGCAATGAAGTTAGGTCAAAATGTGACACCTTGCCATTGATCTCAGTAGGCAGTTGCTTCAGTTTTCAATGTTTCCTGCTTTGTTATTGATCTGAGCTTTTCCTTAGTTTCACTGCAACGTTGTTGAGATCTTTGTTCGTATTCTGCCTTGATTTTGCATGGATGACTTCCTGCCTATGAAACCCAGAATAGGTAAACCCGGAGACAATGAATGGATGAGCAGAATCAGAGACAGGCTGGCACGAGGTGGAGAGCCAACAACGACGAGTGCAGGGAAGCAGAAATGTCCTGGAACGGACTGGAGTGATGACTGCAAACGGCTAAGCGTGACTGACCCTTGAGCGGATGACATGTGTAGCGGATGCCCGTAACATTGGTAAACATACATGCTTTGGGGGGGTTTCTTTTGAAGCTGAGTGGTGGTCCTGCTTCAGGGACTCTAGCTCTTCTAAATGGTAGTCTGGAGACCTCTACCTCGAACACAAGAAGAAAATCCCCGCGTGGAAGCTCAGAGGTGCTTACCTTCTTTGTGTCCCATGCTTGCTTTGAAAGGCTTTTGTCCGCGTCTGATGGGGCCTCCTCCATCCCCGGGACCGTCAGTAGTAAAACTGAAGGGGAGAAGAGGAGAATCAGAAATCTCTTCGTAGCACGGGGGAGTGGGGGCACAAGGGGGTGCTCCCCAACACAGACCCGCCCAACCAGCACCACCTTAACATTGGGTCTGGGTGTCTAGGGGACCTAGGAAAGATGCTGCAGGGAAAGCCCCCACAAACCCCCATGCCACGCCTCCCCCTACCCGGTCCAGGGATGAAGGTTTCTACCCAGAATCCTTCGATCAGCAAGCTCTCCAGGGACCTTGCTGTGCCCACTAGGAAGTACTCAAAGCTGACACACTCTACACTTGAACCGCACTGAATCCTCTGGGCTCTACATCTGGGGGCTGACTATGCATCCGGGGACCAGCGAGGTAGGTGAGTGAGTTAGTTTATTGTGCCAACCTGGCCAATAAACACACATGGGGTTAAGTGAAGGGCATAAGGATAAAAGGCTCACTGAGCCTCACCATTCTAGTTCTCGGGTCTCTTGCTTTGTGATGGTTGGACCAGGGTGCAGCTGCCTTAGCAGTTCCGTGCTTCACCTTGTAAGGCTGCCTTCCTTCAAGATAGCCCCAAAGAGAAGCCACATGGACCTACCCCGATGCAGCCCTGGATGCTGGAGCAGCCATGTGGAGACCCCTGCCAGTGCTGAGAGGTTTACACATTCACTGACTCGGCTTTCCTCCTGCAGTCGGCATCATTGTGTGTACTTTGTGAGATGGAGGAGGACTTTGTGGATTGGGGTTGGACATATGGGTTAATGTTGGACTTGTGGGCTTGGGCAGTACTGGGCTAGGATGTTTTCTTGATGAACACTTAAACTTTACATAAAACTCTCTCTTATACATATGAGTTTCTGTGGATTTATTTCTCTGAAGTACCCAGATTAATACATTATGGTACCAGGAGTGGGGTACTGGAGAAACAAATCATAAGATGGAGAGTAGATGTTTGTTTGACCTATCCCTCATGGAAGTTTTTCTTCTTTGTCTAGCCAGAGGTCAGATAAAGCCACACTATTTACTCGGTTGCTTTTCTGGGGAAAATATGGGAAGTAGGAAAATAGAAAGTTTGTAAGTCCACTTGCTTTCAGCCATTAAAATTTGGTCTTTAGATGAGTTTAGGCCCTGCCTGTAAAGAAAACTTTGAAAACATATCCCCCACCCAGTGCTTTGGAGTACTCAGGAACCAATGGTCTTTGTCAAAAGCTGGAAAACATCTGGAACCATGAAGAAAACTCCTCTCTGGGACTGAACGTTAAAGGGAGCCTATCAGTAGGCTGCTGGGATGCTTGCTAGGTGACCACCTGGATCTACCTGTTGAGTGGAAGTGGGAGAAATGCAGCAATAAAGAGATGAGTTGAGTTTGGCCACTGACACCTTTGGACTTGGTTTGCAGGGGAAAAAGGGGGTGAGAGCAGTTGACTGGTCTAAGGTTCATGACCTAGCACGAGGGGACTAGGCCTGTTGAGTTGGTGAGAGCCCATGGTCTAAGGCAAGGCGACCAATGGGCATCCTGTGGAGGCTGAGTGAGGCAGCCCACGTTGAGTTGACCAGAACCCGACCAGCCGGAGATTTTTGAGCCTGTGAACTGGTGCACATTGTTGCTGATTTTATGGATGGCCTGTCCGGATTTGACTTTGCTTATGGATGCAGACTTCACAAGGTTCCAACTGGAATGAAGACTCTTCGTGTTGAAAAATATGATTGTCTTCTCTGACAACTGGGTTGATGTAAGTGGGTAGTACATAAATTGGATACCAAAAATTGGGGGAGATAAAGGCATGAAGTGGTTGGCTTACAAACTTTCATAGGTGGGGGGAAAAATTCACAGGATTATAGGATTAAGGTGTAGGTGTTACTTAATTGAAATTGTGAAGCTAAAGAATGATGTACAGGTGCCAGGTTGGCAAAGGGTGGATTGAGTTAGTTAGTTTATTGAGCCAACCTGGCCGATAATCACATGTGGGGTTAATTGATGGGTGGAGGGATAAATGGCTCAGTGATCCTTGCCTTCCTAGTTCTCCGGTCTCTTGCTTTGTGATGGTCGCACCAGGGTGCAGCTGCCTTGGCCAGTTCCCTGCTTCAGCTGGCAAGGCTTACTTCCTTCAAGACATCCCCAAGGAGTAGCCACATGGACCTACCTCGATGCAGCTCTGGGTGCTGGAACAGCCGTGTGGAGACCCCTGCCAGCGCTGAGATGCTTACATGTTCACTGACTCGGTTTTCCTCCTGCAGTCGGCATCATTGTGTGTGTTTTGTGAGATGGAGGGGGACTTTGTGGATTGGTGTTGGACATATGGGTTAATGTTGGACTTGTGGGCTTGGGCAGCACTGGGTTGGGATGTTATCTTGATGCTCACTTAACCTTTATATAAAACTCTCTCTTATACATGAGTTTCTGTGGATTTGTTTCTCTAAAGTACCCAGATTAACACAGTGAGCATGACATCCACTTCCCTTGAAGGTCTCGGGAATATTCTCTCCAGCCCTGGCTTGGAGTAGGGACACTGAGGGAGGGGCTGGGCCATGGACCCACGCCCAGCCCAGTTGCACAGAGAAAAAAACTGGAGGGAAGAGATGGCTTCTCCCCACTCCCCCTGCTGTGACCCTGGAAGGACCAGCCCAGTCCAGAATCAGTTGGGCCAAGAAAGAATTCAGAAGGGCCACCAATCACATCAGTATGAGAGCCTCTGGGTCAAGCTGCACCTGAAGCTGTCTGGCCAGCCTGGGCTTGCTTTACTGCTCCTGAGCCAGTAAATGCCCTTGCTAATTGGGTTTGCTGTCCCAATTCAAAGGACTCTACACGGGCGTGGGTGCACATGTGAACAAAGGTCTCTATGTGCTCGTAGAAGCCGTTTCTCTTAGAAAACTCCTAGGCATCCGTTAACACCCCAAACTCAGGCAGCACAGCACCGTCTCTCTGCAACGAAGACCCTTACCTTGTTCCCTGGCACTCCGAGCCTTCACTGGTCATCATCGACCCCCACACTTGGAAGTGCCAGGGGAGGGAATGGCAGGCTGGGCTTGCCCAACCTTTAGGAGCGAGCTCACCCATGCCGGTACCTCTTTTCTGGTGGGCATCCTGGGAGCCACCCGTGAAGGAGTCTGTCGGGGTGGGTGTCATTGCGCTCTGGTGCAGGGCGGAGTCAGAATTGGTCCTGGGGACAGAAGGAGACAGTGAACGCTGCCCTCACCCCCTGGGCACAGGCCTGCCAGAGATGGGCAAGCCCTGGGTAGGATGGGCAGTATGGGAATTGTTGCAGGGCTGTCCCTAGGAGAAACCCTGGACACTTTCGCTACAGAGTTGCAAAG